CCGCTCTGCGGGGAGGGGGAGGAGGGGGTGCGTCTTCTGGGGCGCCAGCACCTTCGCCCCGCTTTCTTGGGAGGATGGCGCAGGAGCCCCAGGAAAAGCCTCGGGGTCTCTGAGGTCCGTCCTCTGCTCCGAAGTGGCTGCGTCTCAATCCCGGTGCCGGCAGGTGCTGCGCGGGGGTCTGTGTCCGCCTCTGGCCCCGGCTCCACCAGGTGCGAGGGAGACCCTCGCCGCCCACACCCCCCGTACCCATTCCCACTCTGGAGGGGCCCTCCGACCCGCCGCCCACCGGTCTCCTCCTTGCCCTCCTGTCAGTGGCCCGTCGGTCGATCAGCGCCGCTTACCTGGCGGGCCGCGTCGCGCCGGCTCCCGCTCGCCTCCCGCAGCCCGGCAGGCGCGGCGGCTTTTATAGGCGCGCGTAGTACTCGTGCGGCGGCTCATTCATGCGGTCGCGGCTCCTACACACTGACGCGCTGCCGACGTCAGCGGGGAATTTAGGAAATGGGAAAAGGGGCTATTTATAGTGGCGAGGCCGGGGGTGGGGACCGAGGCGACCGGGAGCTAGGAGGGGAAGGAGGGTGCACGGAAGCAGGAGGGGGGTGGGGGCAGCCCGCGCCCCCTATTCGGGCCTACAAGGGGTTAACTTTCCGGAAGTGCGGGCTCGGGGCCCGAGGATAGGTAGTGCAGGGAGGGTGCAGCGGTCCCTTATGTGTTTATTCACTCTCGCCTTCCGGAGCTCTGAGACTCCTGGGGCCACAGCCCCCAGCCTTGCCTAGCTTTTCGGGGGTCCTCACCGGTAGTCCCCACCCCCACTTCTCAGTTCTTGGACCTGACGACTCTGACGTCACAGGATGCCCCCCGGCAGCGTCACACCCGCATGGTCACCCTTTCGTCCTGGTGGGGCAGGAGAGGAAGCTGGACCCGCGGAGGAGTCTAGGGCACAGTTAGAGTTGTGGCATCAGGATGCTAGGGGAAGACGAGTAGGGGAGCCCAGAAATCTTGGAAGGTTTTGGTGGAGGAGACTAACCTGGGAGGGAGGATCCAGCGGGAACTTAGATACCAGCCAGGAGCTGGAGACCAGAGGGAAGGCAGAGAAATTGAGGAAGGTGGTCTGTGCTCCCCAGAAATGATCAAAGGGTCCTCTATGAGGAGGTTGGGGTAAGATGCCAGGAATAGGGGGCGAGAGAAAGGGGCAGTCTCAGCAAATGAAGGGGAGGAGGACAGATCGGCAGTGCCCAGCTCCAGAGCGTGGACCAATGGGCACCCCGGGGTCAACTTAAGACCCATTTGTAAAATGATGGACGTTGGCAGAACTGATATGAGAGTGATAAAGAGTGAATGAGACCAAGGGCACAGCAGTTTGGCAGAAAAGGGCCTCCAGGGGGGTGGCGGGAATCACTTCCTGCGAGACAGAATTCCTGGAGGTCAGAACTCGCAAGAAGAACCCATGTCATGTGGGACAAGTTCCCTCGGGTGGAGCAGGGAAATGAATGGTTCTGGCCCAGCCTAGAGCCATCTAAACTGAGGAAGGCTCTAAATGAGGGAGGGGAGATGGACTAGGGTGGGGAGGGGCGGGTGGAGCTGGGGAAGGAGGTCAAGATCGAAGAGTGAATCCACAAGAGGGCAGGTGAGCCCTGGCGCTGCCGCTGGGCTGTGAGCAGGGCGTGAGACCCTCCCGGTAACAGATGCATTGACGGCTTGAGGGGAGGGCCTAGGAGCAGTGAATTAACTTGGGGAGGTGTCCTGGAAGTGCTGGAGAATAAAAACAAAGGTCATGTGCACAGCGGATTTTGGGGTGGGTGGACAGTGGACAGACTCACTGCACAAAAGACACATGGGGCCGAGGGGTTCCTTGTAAGGCTGGGATCTGACCCTATCAAAAGGAGAAAAGATTAAAGCAGAGATGGGGCCAGAGGGGCCCTGCGTGCCCTCTGGGGTTTGGCCTCCTAGCGTTCTCCTTTTCGGGCGGCCAGCCTTCCTCGCAGCGGTTCTACTCTCCAGGAACGCCTTCCTGCACAATGGGAGAACTCCTATTCATCCGTCAAAGCCCACCTCTAAGAGCACTTCTGAGGAGCCTTTCCATCTCCACCCAACACTCCGTACGCTCTTCCACCTCAGCCTACAGCACCGCCTTCGGTAGAGATGTCGGGGATCCCCCCCCCCCCCCCCAGAGGCGGGTAGCTCCGGAGCCCACCATTTTCATCTTGGGGACCTCACTACTTCTCTAGGGAGGACGCCTTAGGGGGACGAAGGAGAGAACGTGAATAAGATGGATCCGCAACACGGGGCGGAAACGGTGAGGGGCGGACTCAGGACGCGGACCTGTTTGGAATGTGGCACCGAAGCCTTGAAGCAGCCTGCGGAGGAAAGGGAGCCTCTGGGGGGCGCTCGAGACCTTGGTGTCTGTCGGGGACCGCTGGTGGCCGTGCCGGCCGCCCCTCGTTGGGTGACTCAGCCACTACCTCTGGCGGGGGCGTGGGGGCCAGAGGACAGCGCGGGGGGCGGCAAGCGCGGCCCCCGCCGGCCCGCGGCCTGGCGCGGTTGCTAAGTTCTCCAAGGCCTCTGAGAGACGCGATCTGGGCAAACCTCATCTGTTACCATGGTAACGCCTCTCCTCGGCCTCTAGCGCTGGGCCGCTGAGGGAGGCGCAGCCAATCAGAAGCTGCGAGCGTTCTCGGGGAACTCCCCCCGCCGCGTGTGGGCGGGGGGTCAAGAGGTGCGGAGAGGAGGCGGAGCGTGGGCCGCAGAGACGCAGCTCTCGCAACAGGCCTGGGGCCGCGCGCGGCTGCCCAGGGCCACTTCCGGAGTGTCCGCGCGAGCGCCCGCGCGCCAGTGCGCGGTCTCCTCTCTCCCGAAAGAAGCGCCATCCGCGTGAACCGGCCTTTCACGTGGGGTGCAGGACCTTGCGGGAGGTCCCGAGCCGCAGGCTCTTCTGTCATGTTTCTCTAGAGTGGGTGGGTTGGAGAAAAAGTGACTCACGCCGTGTCACACGGGGAATCTGGGGGCTGGGGTCACTTCTGTGGACCCCCGAGAGGCGCTGTCCAGCCATTTCCAGTCGAGTATCCTTGAGTCCCTCCGGAGACCCGCAGGGTTTAGGGCGAGCTGTTTGGGTAACACCTCTGCCCAGGTTCACCGAGCGCCCTACGTGGCAGTGCCCGGAGTATCCCAGAGAGCAGGGATCCGGGAGGGGGCGGGCGTGTCTGTGTAAACATGCGCGCTCACGAGACCAATGCCTGGGGAGGGTCTGGGTGCAAACGGGTTTGTGCTGTGTGTATCAGCCTGTACGCCTGCGTGAGGATGGGTGTGCTGGGGGGTGGGTCCAAGCGGACAGTTCTGTCTAGGAATGTCTAAGGAGAGTTCCCCGAGATCTTATCTACCGTTGTCTCGCCTAGGAGTTCCATAACTTCCCTCCCACCACCTACTGTCACCTGAGCCCCCTCCTTGCGGGCAGGACTTTTCCGAATTGGAGCTGTGTACATAGAAATATGTGCACGGGCGCGCTCAGCTTAAAACTCCAGGGTGTATAGGGCTCGCAGGTCTGGGGCCTGGGTCCCCAGGTGGGCACATCTCGGAGGGTGAGCCTGCCCATAGGTCTCCCTCCCCGGTTCAGCTGCGCATCTGCGAGCGCTCAGCCCAGGTGCGCGGGAGGAAGGTCGCTGCCGTGCTGCGCAGAGCCCCGCGAGGCCTCGAGGTGGCGCCATAGCCGCAGCAGCGCCGGCCATGCCGGGCCGCTCCAGATAAGAGTGTGCTGAGAGCGCGGCGAGGCTGAGACGCGACCAGGACGCGGGGAGGACGGACCATCAGGACAGACCGACCGGGGGCCCGGCGGGCGGAGGGCAGCGCAGTGCAGCCACGTCCCCCCTGGATCCGCTGACAGCCGGGCCCGGGGCTTCCGACATGCCCCCCAGGTGGGTCCTCGAGCTGGGAACTGGGAGGGACAGGGGACCCGGGACAGCCCGGTCCTCGCGCGCTGGCCGTCTTCGGCGCATCCTCTAGCCCGGCCGCCCCATCGCGGCTGGAGGCTGGCGTCCGGGGCTCCCGGCGTCGCCCCTATTGGACTCAAGACCTCCAGGCCGCTGCTCCGCGCCGGGTTCATGGCGGGGTCAGCGGTCCGGGACCGGCTCTGCCCGCACATGGGCTAGAGAGGCGAAGGGAAGGGAAGGGGAGCTGGCGAGCGGGGCTGGCAGGGGCGCTGCCCTGGCACAGCTCGGAGGCTGGCAGCGGGGCGGGTGGGGCGCCGGCTAGGAGCTGCCACCGCCGCGGGGAGGGAAGCCCCAGTCGGGCTGCGGCCGCAGGTAACGGGCCGCGAGGCCCTGCGGGCCAGGCGGGGAACGGGGTCGGGCGGCCGAGCAGGCGGGCAGAGGAGCTCGGCTCGGTTCCGGGCCCGTGGCCTCCTGGCCGCCGGAATTGGGGGCCGAGAGGAAAAGCTGGGAGGCGAGGGACGGGGGCTGGCGCGCTCCTCCCGCCTTGTCTGAAGTTGGGAAACTTCTCCCCAAGTTTGGGGCGGCGGAGTTCCGGGGGAAACGGGGCTGAGGAGAGCTGGGAGGGAGGCGCCGCACCCGCGAATGCAGAGCCGAGGCCGAGGCGAGGCCGGGGACTGGACGCGGGTGGGGCGCAGGCAGGGGTCAGGGCCGCAGCCGGCTGCGCTCTGTGCCCGCCCGGGGCGCTGCCCCCTCCCTCCCCTGGGAGCTGCGTGGCTCCCCCCTCCCCCCCACCTGCTTCCTGCCTCAGCCTCCTGCCCCGATATAACGCCCTCCCCGCGCCGGGGCCCGGCCTTCGCGCTCTGCCCGTCACGGCAGCCGCTGCCTCCGCTCCCCGCACTGCGGCCGCCGCCCGGGCCTCGACTGAGGGCTTGACAGCCCCGGGCCAGGGCGGCGCCACGGCGGGCACCGCGCTGCCCTCCTCCGTATCACTTCCCCCAACGGGGGCAACTTCTCCCGAGGCGGGAGGCGCTTCTTACTCGGCTCCCTTTCTCCTCACTCGGGCAAACTTCTCGGCCCTGAATGACTTTTCCTGAAGCGGACATTTTACTTAAGTCGGGTAACTGTCTCCAGAAGGGTCACTTCGCCTGATCAGTTTTCTGCTCGGAAGCCCCCAGCAGCCAGCCCGTGTGCCCGGCGGCGTCCGGGCCGGGACGCACAGGCCAGCCTGGCCTCCTCTCCACCGGGGCAGCGGCTCTCCTCCTGCTGCTCCTTCTTCTGGTTCGGGCCGGTCAGCCTAGGCTCCCACTGCCGGAGGCCGAGGATCCTCCGCCAGAGCCCAGGCCGCGGTGTCGATGTCCCTGCTCAGCTGAGGGGAAAGGGAAGTGGAGGGGAGAAGCGCCGGGCTGGGTACCGGCGGCGAGGGCGCTGCGCGGCTCTTACCCGGCTGGTGTGTGTCCCCGCAGGAGAGTGTGCTGGGCAGACGATGCTGGACCCGATGGAGGCGCCCGGACACTCGAGGCAGCTGCTGCTGCAGCTCAACAACCAGCGCACCAAGGGCTTCTTGTGCGACGTGATCATCGTGGTGCAGAACGCCCTCTTCCGCGCGCACAAGAACGTGCTGGCGGCCAGCAGCGCCTACCTCAAGTCCCTGGTGGTGCATGACAACCTGCTCAACCTGGACCATGACATGGTGAGCCCGGCTAGACTGTGTGGCAGGGCCTTGGTTGTCTTTGTAAGGTGCCATATCCATTTCTCCTGCCAAAAGCATGAGAGACACCCAATAATCCTGCTGAATGATGAATACAGGAGATATGTTGAATAAACTAAGTATTGAAAAATCAGCCATGAGCCTGTCATCCGGAAATAACTAAATAACATTTTATAAATAAAATTTTATAATCTACTTTTTTCCTGTTAAAGTTTTATCTCAAACATTTTCCTATATCTAAATGGCCTTCTTTTTTTTTACTGCAGTGTATTCCATCAGAGATGTCCCAAAATTTCCATTTATTCCTCATTATTGATCACCATCCCAATGACCTGCTTTTTATTCTTTTCCTACATCTTACCCTTGTACCTTGCACCTTTAATTAATACACCCACAGAATTATTTCCTGACCCTTCAGAAATAAACACTATCTTTTCACTCCCCAGATTGTGGTATGAGAATATTAGCATCCCCTCTGCTTTTCACGCACTCTTCTGCACCTTGATATCCCAGTCTCTCTCATTTGTACTTTATTTCTAGATTGTTAGTGTTAATTTTTTTATAACCATAGTTAACTCTTCTGTGTTATCACTATAGATTAATTCTAGAAGTTGCAAATCAATATTGTTTTTATTATTGACTGTGTAAAAATTGTTCACAGAACAAGATAATAGATTTTGATTATGTTTCCTTTATTGTTTTTGATTTTTCTACAATTACCAATTGCAGTTTTTATATTCCCCATGTGATTTTTTTCCTAGAATTATAAACTGTCTTAATTTTGTTCTCAATTTTTTTCAGACTTTCAATCACAATAAGTAATATATCAAGTCTTCCCCTCCTTTTAAGACCTCTCTCCTTGAGCATTCTAACCTGCTGCTTTCCGACTAGTTACTTTCCAAATCTGATGCACGACTGTCTTCTCGTATAACTTCGTATAATGTATGCTATACGAAGTTATTACGCCGCCTCGCTACCCGGGCAGCCTGGACGGGCCTGGCGCGGGCGGCGACGGCGACGACTACAAGAGCAGCAGCGAGGAGACTGGCAGCAGCGAGGACCCCAGCCCGCCGGGCGGCCACCTCGAGGGCTACCCGTGCCCGCACCTGGCTTACGGTGAGCCAGAAAGCTTTGGTGACAACTTGTACGTGTGCATCCCCTGTGGAAAGGGCTTCCCCAGCTCGGAGCAGCTGAATGCGCACGTGGAGGCTCATGTGGAGGAGGAGGAGGCGCTGTATGGTAGGGCCGAGGCGGCTGAGGTGGCTGCTGGGGCCGCCGGCCTAGGGCCCCCTTTTGGCAGCGGTGGGGACAAGGTCTCTGGGGCTCCGGGAGGCCTAGGAGAGCTACTGCGGCCTTACCGCTGCGCGTCGTGCGACAAGAGCTACAAGGACCCGGCCACGCTGCGACAGCACGAGAAGACGCACTGGCTGACCCGGCCCTATCCATGCACCATCTGTGGGAAGAAGTTCACGCAGCGCGGGACCATGACGCGCCATATGCGCAGCCACCTGGGCCTCAAACCCTTCGCGTGCGACGCGTGCGGCATGCGCTTCACGCGCCAGTACCGCCTCACCGAGCACATGCGCATCCACTCGGGCGAGAAACCCTACGAGTGCCAGGTGTGCGGCGGCAAATTCGCACAGCAACGCAACCTCATCAGCCACATGAAGATGCACGCCGTGGGGGGCGCAGCCGGCGCAGCCGGGGCGCTGGCGGGCTTGGGGGGGCTACCCGGCGTCCCCGGCCCCGATGGCAAGGGCAAAATCGACTTTCCCGAGGGCGTCTTTGCTGTGGCCCGCCTCACGGCCGAACAGCTGAGCCTGAAGCAGCAGGACAAGGCGGCCGCCGCCGAGCTGCTGGCGCAGACCACGCACTTCCTGCACGACCCCAAGGTGGCGCTCGAGAGCCTCTACCCGCTGGCCAAGTTCACCGCGGAGCTGGGTCTCAGCCCGGACAAGGCGGCCGAGGTGCTGAGCCAGAGCGCTCACCTGGCCGCCGGACCCGACGGCCGGACCATCGACCGTTTCTCTCCCACCTAGGACGCCCTTCGCCCCCCCGCCATGTCGCTGCCGCGCGGCCCAGGCCCACACCCCTGGGGAGCGGCGGCGGCGGCAGCAGCGTGCAGGCACACCGCACCCAGGACAACTGTAATAGCAGCGGCAGCGTCACCACAGTGGCGGCCCCACCTCTCTGCGGCCTCACCTGGCCTCACTGCTTTGTGCCTTAGCCCGGGGTGGGGGTAGGGGAAAACCCCGGGACGGGGTGGGATGGGGGAAGGGAGATCTATATTTTTGATATCAGCTTTGACCAAAGGAGACCCCCGGCCTCTCCCCGCCTCTTCCTGTGGTTCGTTGGCTCCCTCCTCTGGCTCCGTGCTGCTCTTGGGGGGAGGGATGTCACTGTTGGGGCTCTCCCAGCCCTACCTCCGGCCCTTGCGACCACACCCATTCTCACTGTGAATCTCCCCGCTGGGGTCGGAGCGTCGGGCAGAGTTGGGGAGTGGGGAGGGGACTGAGCCGGCCGGAGGGCACCCCCGCTCCCCGCTCCCCCCCACCCCGGGACTGATAATGTGAAGTTCCTCATTTTGCACAAGTGGCACTAGCCCCAGGGCCAAGCCTTCCCTCTCCGACCACCAACGGTGGGGAGTTCTGGGGTCAGAGGGCTGAGACAGCCCTGGCCTACCCGGTCTCCCACTCCCGCGGTGTCCCCTCCCTTCCCTGGGGCCCCGGACCATATTTATTGCATGCGCCCCGGTGGCCCCCCATCCCACGCCCAGGCTGGGCTGGGCTGGAACGTGGTCTCTTTAGCTCCCTCCTCCTCGTTTGTATATTTCCTACCTTGTACACAGGCTCTTCCAGAGCCGCTTCCATTTTCTATACTCAAACCAAACAGCAATAAAGCAGTAACCAAGGACCCTGACCCAACTGCTCTCTTCTGCCCTTGCACAAGGACCTGGATGGGCAGCACCAGGGTGGTGGGTGAGGGAGCTAGAAAGGGCTGCCCTCACACAGATGCAGAGGCATGGACCTACCTCCCCTCCCCAGTCCCAGAAACAGATCAGCAAGAGATCAGGTATGTTTTATAACTAAAAATTTATTAAGGAAACAAAACCAGTGCTGGAAACGGGACAGAAAAGAGAGATGGGTCTCCTACCCACCCAGTCATTGGCTTTCTGCCTGGGGAGAGGATCTCAAAGGAGAGGCCAGGGACCCTGTACCCCAAAGAGCCCAGTCTTGTAAGGCCCTGCAGGACTCCTACCCCAAAACCATTGGCCTTGGCTTTCCTGCACAGTCCCCCTCCTTCCGGCATATTCCTGGGCCACAGGAAGGGCACAGCTATGCTCCTGTCCTCTGGGCAGGTTACAGTCAGATGGTGGCCTCAGGCAGGATTCCCTCACTGGTCCCATCAAGATTTATCCCTGGCTCTACCTAAAACCCTGTCTTCCCTTAAGTCCTCCTTATCCCTGCCCCTGGGTTGGAGGAACTCATTCCCAGTAGGAAGCCTCCAGAGGGAGGTTTTGAACATGGATATCAGCTAAAGGGGCAACAAAAACGTCAAAGGCTAAAGGGCCCCTTTATCAGTTCTTCTAGTGGGTGGAGGGGAAAGCTAGAAACAAGGTGAAAACTCCAGGTGAGGCAATGCTCCTCCAGGCACTGGACCACGGCGCCTACCCTCAGGCTGGGCTGTATAAGCCTGGAAGTTTTTTGGAGCACAAGGGCCTGGGATGGAAGGACTAGAGTGGGAAAGCTTTATTAGGTTCCTGCCACAGGTAGCAAAGGAGGGAGATTCAGAGTGAGAACCCCCATGACAGGGAACTGAGGTGAAGAAATTGAGGGGATCAAGATCAAGGAGCTGAGAGGGATCTAGTAGAAAGGGAAGGAAGGTGAGGGGGTGTTCTGGAAGAAGGGAGGGCAAAGAGGCAGAGAAAAGTCTCAGGAAATATCCTGGAGGGAGAACTAGAGCAAAAGGAAGGCCAATTAGGGGTGATGGAGCAGGCAAAGGCCACCCAGGAAGCATGGGACTGAGACCAGATGTCCCTTCCCTCTAGACCCATGACTATCCAAGGGGAAAACAATGACAAATGGTAAGGGACCCAGATTGATAAGGGCAAGAACAGCAGCAGGATGGGTGTGTGTGATGGGATGTGGGGTAGAAGAGGTGGGGGCCTAGGGCTGCTGTTAAAGACATGGTATCCAGAACCCAAATTAAGTCCATGGGGGAATCCAGGCCTCAGGGAGATGAAGAGCACACCCTGGGCACTTTCTTCATGACATAACCAAAGCATCTTGGACACATTCAGGACAGAGGTTCTGAAGAAGGTTAAAGGGACCTGTGATTTCACCTGCATCTGATGGAAACTCTAAAACGCCTGCCCCAAGTCCACCGGAGAAAGTGGCTGAGTCCCCGGGGTGAGAAGGTCTTCCCCCGGCCCTGGAATGAGACAAGGGAGGAGAAAGGCTGAGAGCATGGGCGGCCTATTTGGCTTGCCCACCTGCTGTCGCTGTAGCCAGCCACCTGCCTGCTAAATCTTGGCAGCCCAGGAGGGTCCCAGCGGCTTCTGCCCGACCCTTGGGAGGGGGCTCTGTGAGGAGCAGCTCCTCCACAGCACGGCCACAGCGTGGGTTGGAAGAGGATGGTTTATTGTCTGGGTGGATTGGTGGCTCAGGCACGTGGGCATCTTCCGTGCTACACTGGGCGCCTGGTGGCCTCTCTGGAACGGTTCCATAGGGTGGGCCTGGTGTGGCCCCCTCAGCCCACCTGGGCCCATGTGAGGAAGGCCGGGATGTCCCGCACAGGCACATTCCTCGTCAGTGCCTTCACACGCAGGTTCCGGTCATCTGTCAACAGCACCACCTCCCGCAGCAGCCGAATTGGCTCCTCTGTTGGCATGAGAGAGCAAAAGGACTTCACTAAGGACAGGAGACAGAGGCATTGGCTGCCTCTTCTTGCCCTGGAGGGAAATGTGGTCCTGGGTGGGTTCAAGGCCAGCCATTTCTTGGCCTTCTGCAAGTCCCTTTTTTCATCAGACCCTCAACCGAGGGTGCCCCTTCTCTGCCTCCTCCCTACTAGCTTAGAGAGGGCTATGCTGGGCCAGGGTTGAGTTTCTGCCTCCTGCACAGGACTCTGTTCTGCTTTGTGCCTGAGAGCTGCCCAAACCCACCAGCCTCCAGAGACCTGTTTCCAAAGACTCTGGACTGAAGGAGTAGAAGAAACCCCTTGCCTTCTACTCCTTCTGACTTCATGGCTGGTCCTGGACTCACAATAAACCTCTTTTTGCACATCCTTTCCCTCTAATGCCAGCAAGTCGATACTTCAGGCATCCAGAGGTAGAAAACTAAAGATGGAATAGAAAGTGGATCCTGGACTGGCCAGTTAGCTCAGTTGATTACAGTGCAGTGCTGATAACACCAAGGTCCAGGATTCGATCTCTGTACCGCCCAGCCGCCAAAAAAAAAAAAAAAAGGAAAGTGTATTCGGGGCTCCCAGATTTGGCAGAGGGCTTAGCTCAAGGGAGCTCTGAGAGGAGGGCAAGGGTTCTTGACAGACTGAGGCCATGGCCAACTGATTTCCTCTATTAAATAAAAATAATCTATGTATATGGTGAAAATCTCTAATAGTAGAAAAAAATAAAAAGGAAAAGTAGAGTCAGGATTATCCTCCCAGCTCTCTGTCCTGTACCCCAGGGGTAGATCTGTATATCTTTCCAAATTTCCTTATGCACATTTACATGTACTTATACTTGCATATATAAACTTCCCCCTAGATCACTGCAATCATACTAGCCATACTTACTTTATTCAAATTTTATATATTTTAGGGCCGGCCGGTGGCTCACTCGGGAGAGTGTGGTGCTGATAACACCAAGGCCATGGGTTTGGATCCTACAAAGGGATGGCTGGTTAGCTCACTGGCTGAGCGTGGTGCTGACAACACCAAGCTAAGGGTTAAGATCCCCTTACCAGTCATAAAAAAAAAAAAAAAAAAAAAATATATATATATATATATATATATATATTTAAAAGATCTTTCTATATTGGCATACATATCCTTCATTCTTTTTAGATGACTTTTTTAGCATGATCTCTCCAATACCTCTTTCCCCCCAACCTTTAATGTATTGGAGAGAATTTAAAGTGAGGCCAAGCACTCACACAAGTGACATCCCCACCCCCGGCACACCTATTCGGTGGCAGGTCTACTCCTCAGTCTCAGGCTGGGCATTTTCTGATGGAGGTCCCAGACAGCAAGGCACAGGAAATGTCCTGTGGTGCGTGCTGACTGTGGGGGTTGGCGGGGCTGAAGGGACTGCAAATATTCATGTCTGACCCGAGCAGTTTCAGGCTTGCCAGCTCTAGGCAGGGAGGCTGAGAACTGGCTTTCAGCCTCAGGAGGAGTTTGGGGGATGAGGGAGAGGCTCATGGGGTTGATGGTAGTGAGAGAAGAGGAGAGGAGAGAGGAGGGTGTGACAGGAGGTGAGGGGCTGTTGTGAGCAGCGAGGGAAAGGAAGGCAACCACGGGGGAGGGGATGCTCTGAGACCACTCAAGTGTCTGGGCCTGGCCCCTCCAGGGTGTGTGAGTTTGAGGTGGGGAGGTGGAGTGCGGTGCTGTGGGGGCTCCCAGCTGGCTGGCTGAGCCTGTCTGCGGTCCCACCATTCCTGCCCTGGGCCTCAGACCAGGAGAGTCCCAGGCTTTGGGTCAGCCAACCAAGCCCTGGTGTTGCTGGCAGGGGTCTGCAGGGGTTTCTGTGGATACTTTGAGACATTTTTAACAATAAACATCCTCTGTTTTGACACTGGTAACTTCACTTTGTTAGAAACCAGAGACTGTCATCTTGTCAGGCCCCATCCGCCATAATCCACATGATTTTAAAATTCAACATCGTTTACACATAAACATTTGGTGACGGTTTCTCTGTGAATCTGACAAGTTAATCTGCTAAGAATCCACACTGACAAATGGGGTTTGATTACACCAGCCGTTGCTGATGTAATTCTGATAGGGGCGGTCCTCAGGATGGCAATGGGTTTCTGTAGGCTGTTTGGGGTGAAGTGGGGGTCGGGGGACTAGCAGGGCCAAAACCAAAATGTGTGTGTGCCTTGAAAGAAATAATTCTGAGGCTGGGGCGGGGCCCAGTAGCATCAGACCCACACTTCCCAACAA